GCTCTGCCAGTGAGGAGGTGCACAAAAATCTTGGAGGACCCATAGCCAGGCCATCTGACCCAAAGCAGCCAAAGGAATATTCCATACCATAAAGTGTCATCCCCAGTATAGAAACTGGAGGCAGTTGACTAGGAGCTGCTGATCACTGCTTGATGAACATAAGTCAGTGGGTGCTGAGAAATGGTATTGTGCATCCCTTGTTTCTCTCAGGTGTTTTTTCTTGCTCTTTCTCGTTCTTATTGTTGTTATAATTACTATTGTTGTAGCAATCTAGTGAGGAGATCTCCCTGCCCATGGCAGGGAGGTTGGGACTAGGTGATCTGTAAGGTCCATTCCAATTCTTTAATTCTATGAGTCTATGATTGTTATATTTTGATTCCTTTCACATATTAAACTGTTCTATCCCAACTCGTGAAGTTTACTTTTTATTCCTTCTTCAATTCTTCTCCCCACCAGGTGCAAAGTTTTGAGAGAGCAGCTGTGTGGTACTTAACTGCCAAATGGGGTTAAACCACAACAGTGATATATTCTTAGGATGGACTTCTTGGGATGCTTTTTTCAGCTGATCTCTACATAGGACATGTAGTCTTAGAGAAATGAGCATGGTTTAGAAATTTGCTTTGACCTAAATGTAGCTTGACCATCAGTGGTACATTGGTCAGATTGTGATTTTGGGATAAGGCAAGTTCCTGTGTGTATTAGTAAATATGCAGGTTTGAAAGGCCAGTAGTGCTTAGCCACAGTACACCTGGATCTGTTAGGCAGGCTGTTAATTAAAGTAGACAAGAAAGCAGTCTTCAGTGCGAAGTCCAAACTACCAGGGTGCCAGTAAAGACCACTGTGAACAACTCTTCTGAATAATTTGCATTTCAAAAAAACCCCATGATTGAGCTATTTTTTTGTTATAATTTTTTTCTTGACAACCTCCATCTTTCATTTTGTCATTGCCTCTTCTTGCCATTTCTGCAAAGATTATGGTTTTCCTAATAGTGCCCAGTTTGTTAAAAATTCCAGCTGGCCTGTCTCTAGTTGGGGTCATTGATTGTGACTTCAAGTGCATGCAGCTGCCTTAGGGATCTAGAGAAACTTAGAGGTCCATTAGAGTAAGCAGAAGTTTGCCAAACCCAGCAAAGAACATTGAAGTCATGTAGGAATTTGTCATTAATCTGTGCCTAGCTCTTGCTGTAGCTGATGGAATATAGGTGTGTTATAGCCTTTGTCTGGGTCTCAGGAAATGCTGATGACTGAAGGTGGTCTGAAAGCAAGCAGCCTGGGAACCACTTCTCCATCCTTTAGGCCCAGTGCTCTTCAACATCTTCATAAATGACTTGGATGCAGGACTTGAAGGTACACTAAGTATGGTAGCAGATGATACAAAATTGCGAGGAGCTGTTGACTCCCTTGAAGGCAGAGAGGCCCTGCAGAGACACCTTGATAAATTAAAGGTCTGGGCAATCAGCAACCATATGAAATCTAACAAGGGCAAATGCTGGATTCTGCACCTGGGATGAGGCAGCCCTGGATATATGTATAGACTGGAGAGGGAGAGGCTGGAGAAGCACTGCAGAAAGGAATGTGGGGGTCATTCTGGTCAATGCCAAGTTGAATATGAATCAGCAGGCAGGAGGACTGACTGTGTTCCAGGGTGCATCAAGCACAGCATTAACAGCCAGTCAGGGAGGTTGTTGTCCCACTCTACTCTGCACTGGCATGGCCTCACCTTGAGTGCTGTGTGCAGTTTTATGTGCCACAATGTAATAAGGATATAAAGCTATTAGAGAGCAGGAGGGCTATAAAGATGGTGAAGGGTCTAGAGCGGAAGTCATACGATGAGTGACTGTTGTTACTTGGCTTGTTCTGCCTAGAGGAAATTGAGGGAAACCTCATTATGGTCTACATCCTCCTCACAAGGGGAAGTGGAGGCACCAATTTCTTTTCTCTGGACGCCAGTGATAGGAACAGCATGAAGTTGTGTCAGGGAAAGTTTAGGTTTGGTATTAAGAGGTTCTTTGCCTAGAGGGTGGTTGGGCACTGGAACAAGCTCCCCAGGTAAGTGGCAATAACGGCCAGAATTCAAGAAGCATATGGACAATGTCCTCAGGCACATGGTGTGATTATTGGGGCTGTCCTGTGCAGGACCAGGAATTGGACTTGTGGGTCCCTTCAAACTCAGAATATTCTATGATTCCTTTCCTTACTGGGCATTTCTGAAGACCAAATATTCCTGTCTGAACTTCACACTGCATGTGGATTCTAATCTGCACTTCCCTGACTGTCCTGTGGGTTCTTAAATGCTTCTCTTGAACATAATTGACTTTAGGAACTGGAAAGAATGAGACAATGACAGACTTTCTGCCTGTGGATATTTCAAGGGTAACAGATGGGGTATAAGTAAGGCTACAGTGAAATATTTTGAAATTATCTGTTGAACTTTTTCCTGATCTCTGCAGTGTGTATTAAGTAAAGAGTAAGCATGGTGCTCTGACATTCAGATCTGCAGAAAGCAATCTGCTAGCATCATTTGGAAGAATGACCTTGTTCAAGGACCCAGAAATGTGATAATTGTTTTTTCAAAGAAACGGATTCCATCTGTGTAAAACAAAGTGGAATGCACTGTTGGATGCATCAACACTAAACTAATAGTATGTGTTAGTTGCCTCAAATGCAAATTTAGACTTATCTCTCTGGGTATTGTGGAATGGTTTGGGTTGAAAGAGACCTTACAGATCATCTTGTTTCAACACCCCTACTATGGGCAAGGACATCTTCAACTAGGTCAAGTTGCTCAGAGCCCCATTCTTGGATTCAGTGATTGTACATTGACCATACAGTTTCCCAAAAAAAACTAATTCACATTAACATCTCAGAAAGAAGTAGTCTGCCAAAAAGAAGGCTTGCTTTGAGAAATATCAGCTAGTTGTAAAAGTAGGATATAGCAGCCTTTCTTTCTTTCCCACATCTGAAATTTATCCTTGTTCAGCTCTCAGATTTATTCAGTGAAAGAGACATTTTACCTCATCTTAGTTGCCTGAAAACACAATGATCATTTAAGCTCATTTGCTGGCTCATTTCTCTCACTAGTGAGGAAAGGAAGCCACATCTCTTGTGCCATGAGCATCTCTGTGCCTGAATTCTTATAAAAGGTTAGTGCCAGGTGAAGTGATTGACTTGAATGAATAAAGACCCTTGAGCAAGACTTCTAATGACCATATCACCAAAGACTCTAAAATCAAAATTTTGCTCACATTATGGTTTTTTGCTGGTTATATTTTCTGATTCAGTTCCCAAAGTTCAGAATCGGAGAATGGGGCAGGTGCTTGCACATGAGGGGAGAGCATATCCTGTAGAGTTTTCAGTAGCAGGAGATGGAGACAAAGGTAATTCGAAGAACTCAGTGCTGAGGAGGTGCTCAGGCTGTTGCTTTACTAAAAAATTTTCAGTAAGCCAAAGTTTGCTAATATTTTGGGCACAGGACTTCTCTTCCATTAATAAACATCAAGGAATTTATTACTGTGAAGTGAAAATATGAACTGTATATGATTTCACTTATAGCTGGATGATGTGATCTAAAGTTTATTTGACTTAAGGTGAATTGAAGCAATCTGTTCATCATCCTGCCAAGATTGCTGAACCAAAACTATTGTTGCATTGTTATGTTTCTAAATAGTACAAAAACAATTGGTTGCTTCACTTTTTTTATTTTTTAAATTTTTTATTGAAAGGAAGAAGGATATTTTGGGAAACATGAAAAAAGCAAAACAACAACTTGGAAAATTGCATGTAAACTTTTCTGATGAAAAATGCCAGTGTAGCAATGCCATGTATTTGCTCCTTGCAAACATTTTTTTTCAGTCCTCTCAGTGTTGTATCTTGCATTTTTTTCCTATACAAAAGCAATGACAGAAGATTGCTATCCAGCCTAATACAAATCCATTGGGTCACAGGCTACTAGTTACTCTATTTTATATTGTGCTTTGAGAATTACTGCTGGAGCTGACTTTCTAGGTTGTGTCTTTTCCTCAGTGGTTCACATATGCTGTATATGCCAAGCCTTAGATTAATAGAAGAAGTATTTCTTTGCTATTAAAATGCCTCTGTGGCATCAGTGCCTTCAGGAAAAGTCAAGTCTCCTGATACTCTCTGCATTTTAAGAACTTCATGCAAATTCACAAAAATGTTTTAACTTGTCAAGACTTTATCCCATTCTCTTTTTAAAGAATGGGATAAATTCTTCTTATTCTAAACATGTAATTCTTGGATTGTTTAAAATATTTAGATTTTACTGCTTGCTTTAATATCTTCATGTCCTCTTTCTTCCCCTGTTTTCCTAATTTAGTTGAGTGAAGGAGAGGAGAAAATAAAATAGCACAGATATATAAACTGGTTTTGATAGATGAGAGTTTTTCATACCAATTTTTGTTTTCCGAAAGTCTGTTCTCCCTCACTCCCAACAATAATAATATTCTGACAAAAAAGCTTCCATGAGTTCTGTTTAATACAGATGGGATAGTCTAAGGTGACCACTTGATCTAATGAAAATCATAGCATTTCCTAACCTTGTACAGTGTTTCAGCAATAGTGCTTCTAAATACACTTTCATACAACTTTGCATATGTGTATATCAGTCATTATGAATAGCTGATGTTTGTCAACAGATACTATTTAAGAAGTTACTTCCTTCTTATGGCTGGATTGAAATTCTCTCTCTTAGCTCCTGTGTTAAATTCCAAGTGATTTCTATTATGGCTTATTTCAATGTGACTAGGGGACAGTCATAACTCACTGACTTGTTTGAGCCTAAATATAACCTAGTGTTTGCCTGGCATCATTGTGACCAATCTTGGAAATGTGATTTTTGTTGATTTTTTTGTATGTGGTTTTCAGAAACTTGCAGAATTCCAAAAGTTTTCACCTGTATTCTGGGTCTCATGCTGGGAACTGATGCTCACTTTCAAACCTATTTCTCTTTATACTCATCAGACTTTTGTTTTCCTTTTTCCTTTAGATTGCGGTCTTTGGTAAAGCAATTAGAGAGAGGGGAAGCTTCAGTTGTAGACCTAAAGAAGAATTTGGAATATGCTGCAACTGTTCTTGAGTCAGTATATATTGATGAAACTAGGTGAGTTAGCTACAGAGATCAGCACTCTTGTATCTATTACCAATGACACAAAATTGTGATTTACATGTCTATTGGGAAATTTGTTTGAACCAAGATTTATTACTGACAGACCACACGTTTTTAATCATTAGAATGTTGTGTTCTGTGTAGAGCAGATTGCCAATCCTTGGTTTAAATGCTTCTATAAGATTCCTGGGGCAGGGGAGGAGATCAAAAGCAATCATAAATGTGATGTGCATTCTCTTGGAGAAATGTTTACATAATAATTGTGTCCTACTTTTTCGGAACATTTCTAAAGTCCTACTCATCTATTCCTTTTGGATAATGCTAAATCCTTTCACTTGTATCAAGCCTTTGAAATTGTAAAAAAAATAATTTACTCCAGGTCATGATAGAGGTAGACTGGTAAGACATTGCAGAGGAGTTCCTCTCTCATTGTCATTTACCTGCTGCTAAATGCACTTGTAGAGTCACTGCAGATGGCATAACTGGGAAAGGAGAGGATTACATGTTACTAACTCAGAGGTTAGAAATGACCATAAATGACCTCTAAAGGACAGAAAGGTCAGGAATACTGGTGAGCTGAAGATATGCTTCAGAAGGTTGATACTTTTTGTTTGTCAGCCTAGATTTACAATCTGACATTTAAGTGTACAAGCAAATAAACAAACTGTTGAAGACTTGTATAATTGTGTTTGATTAGGGCTGATGAACAAAAGACTTTTAACAGCTGCTTTAAATCGAATATATGTGAGTTTCATTTTTTTTCAAGAATGTTATAGTGCACTCTAAGAGCCTGTTTACCAACTTTTTCCTCCCCTTCCAGGCGTTTACTGGACACAGAAGATGAACTCAGTGACATCCAGTCTGACTCTGTACCCTCAGAGGTCCGGGACTGGTTGGCTGCTACCTTCACACGGCAAATGGGGATGATGCTGAAAAGGACAGAGGAAAAACCTCGGTTCAGGAGTATTGTCCATGCAGTGCAAGCTGGGATATTTGTGGAAAGGTGAAGTAGCATGTAATTACCTTGTTCTAGTAACTACCCAGGTGCCATAGATTGCACCTGTAGTATGTTATGACACAGTGACAGGAGGTGGAGGAGAGTACCTGAGGCCAGAAAACCTCAGAGAACTAGTAGATGACTCTGTTGAATGAAGAACACTTTAATATGCTTGTACTTATGCCTCTACACAGACCTGGATAGCACCTCAAAATCTGGGATTGAGTAGCAGATTACAACTTGAAACAATATATACTCCTCTATTCTTAGTATAGTACAGATGTAATAGCACGGTTGGTGTCACTTTGACAGAGAATATGCACTTCTGTATAGCCCAAGGTCAGGAGTGACAGCATTTAAAATTTGGTGTGGCCTGACCAGACTCTCCTTTACCTCTGCTTACCTCTTCATATTTCTTATGAAAAACTGCTGAGAAACAGAACAAAATCCTTCATCCTAGTATTACTGGAATGAACTATAAATCAAGACTGATGTGAAAATTTTGGAGCTCGGAGAGGATTAAAAAAAGACCATTGAGTACTCTCACACTTCTCTGTTGCGATTGTTGCTAAAACCAGTTTTACTCTCCCTTTATTTATTTCAATTTGGACTAATTTCCAATCTTACCTTTTCTTGTCAAGTAGCCACTCTTCACTGACGTTCTTCCTTCAAAACAGAGGGAGGGCTGGCACATGTGAAACTGTCAACAGTCTTAAGATAGCCTGTCAGACAGCAGGTCCCAGGTCTCTACAGCAAAATTAAGTCAGGAATTGAAGAGCAGAGCACCTTTCACTGTTCATCAGAATTGCAGTGACAGACTAGCAGCCCCCTGTGCAGAAGGTTGGGCATATCAGAGAGTGGACCACAAGTCTCAGAGTCGCACAGCGGCCTCCTTCGACGTGACTACAGCCAATATTTTTATCTGTGCATGAAAGTTACTGTACATGTCTTAAGAGTGGCAGCAAATTGTGATAAGACTAAACCTGTTATTTCCCCTTGGAGCAGGTTTCTCCTAGGTTTGACAGGCTATTTGTGAATTAACCCTCACCAGTTGGGGACTTGCTCATCAAGGGAGCAAAGGAACTGCAGAGAGTTGGCTGCAGTAGGCTGTTTTCCAGCTGCTCTGAATCATTGTGACACAAAGGAGGAAGTGTTCAGGCATGATAAGGCATCAGA